TGGAACTCGTCAACTTCTTTCTCCTTTCTCTTTAGCAGTTCATTATCTCTCTTCTCTTCCATCTCTGTTAGCTTAGACATTATGAATGATCTGAATTCCTTATCAGACATTTCCATGATTTTCACCGAACTGCTTGTGGATGAAGAAGAGTTACTCTTTTCCCTTGGAGGAGAGGTATTTTCTTGTTTTCCCATATTTCTCGTGATCCAGCGGTGATTTCTTGTCATCTGATGGATGTTGTGTTTCTTTCAAATTCTTGAAGTTCAGCCTTAATGTTCAGGAGCAAGCAGACAGAGGTGTTCTAGAATCTCTTTGCCGTTCTATTGTGATTGCGCTAGCTCGTTTGTTGGAGGCTGAATTATTAGTAGAAAATCTTCATTCCCTTAAAAATCTAGTTCACTGGAGCCATGTGGAACCTTCTCCTGAAGGCCCGGCTTCTTCTCAAATTTTTTTTTTTTTAGAAACATAACTTTTAGTTCCTACGTTATGTTCTGGTATATGGGTATACTATAATTTCCTTAACCATCACCCTATTGTAGGATATTTAGGTTGTTTTCAGTAATTCAAATGAAAGAATATCTTTCTGTTTAAAAATGTGTCTGGGTCTCAGGGACCAGCAGTTAGCGTAATGGCTATGTTGCTGAACTCCCATGTAGTCAACCGCAGTTCAAGTCCCGGACCCAGTGGCTTAAACTCACATCAGGCATGTGTGCGTGTATGCCCAAGATCCCGAGAGGAGAATGGAGGAGAAGGGATTGCTGTGTGGCCATCCCCCTTGGGGGGTGATTTCTCACTTTCTGTCTCTCTGTCTCTCTCTGACTTTCTGGCGAGCACACACTCCCTATAGCAAAAACCTCTTAAAAAAAAGTGTCTGGGTCTCTCATTATTTTCCTCAGTATAGGGTTATATATTTAAATGTATTGAGGTCAAAGGTATAAATGTTGTTGTTGTTGTTGTTGTTTTGGAGTGGTTTTTGCTATAGGACGTGCGCGCTCGCCAGACTGACAGAGAGAGACAGAAAGTGAGAAATCACCCCCCAGGGGGGACGGCCATGCCGCAATCCCCTCTCCTCCATTCTTCTCTCGGGATCTTGGGCACGCATGCACACGTGCCCGGCGTGAGTTTAAGCTACCAGGTCCGGGACTCGAACTGCCGTCGACTATGTGGGAGTCCAGCAACATAGCCATCATGCTAACTGCTGGTCCCAAAGGTATAAATGTTTTTAAACTCTTGTTGAAATTGCCAAAATATTTTAAGAATGGTGTTTATGCCAGTTTCATTTCTACCTAAGTCTCTTAGTCTGTTGAGTATAATGCAGTAAGTAGGAGAATGCCAGACAGAGGCAAGCCTTATTTTTTAAGCTAGTTTAAGAGACTGTAGGATGTCCTTGTTTTAATTAGTATTCTTTGATTACTAGCAAGTTAAACATTTTTACATATTTTTATCAGGTTTGGCTTTAATTTTTGTCTAACTCACACTGTTTGTTTTGTTTTAGGTTTTCTCTTTCAGTTGAAATGTCTATGATTTTGTCTGCCTCAGTCATTCGTGTCAGAGATGGACTGCCACTTTCTGCTTCTACTGATTACGAACAAAGCCCAGGAATGCAGGAGTGCAGAAAGTATTTTAAAATGCTCTCAAGGAAACTTGCTCAACTTCCTGACAGATGTACACTGAAAACTGGACATTATAACATTAAGTAAGACTTCAGTTTGCTTCATTAGAATCAGTTGACTACTGATTGTTATTTTTAAGGACGTTTAAGTGATAGCAATAGAAATTGTTTCTGATTAGTTTAGGAAAACTTCTCGAAGTCAAGAATTATGTTCTGAACTTAAACGAATCCTCATGTTATTAACCTATTTGCAGCATCTGCATTTATATCTGACTTTATCAAATTTTATAGTTTTGTAGATCACAGATAATACTTTTTTTTTTTTTTTGGAGAGGTTTTTGCTATAGGATGCGTGCTCTCGCCAGAAAGACAGAGAGAGACAGAAAGCAAGAAATCACCCCCCCCGCCCAAGGGGGATGGCCATGCCGCAATCCCTTCTCCTCCATTCTCCTCTCGGGATCTTGGGCACACATGTACATGCACCCGGCGTGAGTTTAAGCCACCGGGTCCAGGACTCAAACCGTGGTCGACTACATGGGAGTCCAGCGACATAGCCATTATGCTAACTGTTGGTTTCCACAGATAATACTTTTTAACCAATTGGTCATAGGGGTATTTATTAGTGTCCTTACATCCCAAAGATTAGCGATAGGCAAACTGTATTGGGAAATTAAAAAAGAAGAAAATTTACCTTCTAGCATGAGGGGATAGCACTTACTACAATATAGTATATAAGGAAAGTAAAACTGGGTGATGGGATGGAGAGTGACTATATCTGTGGTAATCAGGGGCGTCTCTGTTTAAGCAGAGACCTAAAAGATGAGAGGAGGCAGTTATATGAAGGATGCTCTGGAGGAAAAGCAAAGCAGAGGTAACCAGAGAGGCCTTTGGATACACATGAAGAGGTAGAAAGAAAATTTGATAAAAAGACAGCATATGGACAGTTGGTACAGTGGCAGAAGGTAAAGTCGAGAGGTTGGAATTGGGCAGGTGATATAGAACCTTCTAGGCCATTATGAGTCTAGAGTTAGTCTCTTGAATCTGATGCAATTAGAAAGCCGTTGGGGAGTTTTAAGCTGGAGAATTCTATGATCTGATCTTGGCTTTGAGTAGATTACCCTGGCCATTCTGGAAAGAATGGGCTATAAGGGAGAAAGAATGAAAGCAGAGATCAAATTGGAGCTCTTCAGGTGGAGGTCATGGTGCAGAGAAGTGGTTGGCTTTGGGCTTTATTTTGGGATTAGCATCAACAAATCCTCCTAATGGATTGAAATGGGATGTGAGGGGGAAAAAAAGAATCACAAGTCACCTGTAGATGTTTGGCCTGAGGAACTGGATGGATAATGAATAAGACTGGAGAGGATAAGCGTGGTCCATTGGTAAATACCAAGAATTCTGTTTGTTGTGAAGTCTGAGAAGTGTAATAGACAGTTAAGGTATGCTGTCAGATAGGCAGCGTGATATATGAGTCTCAAGTTCAGTAGAGAGGACAAGTACGGAGGTTTACATTTGGGAGTCTGGTTACAGATTGTAATTAAACCCATAGGTTTGAATGAGACCACCTTGGAAAGTTTAGCATGAAAGCATGAAACAACTAAAGAACAATTAACTTCTGAGTGCCAGGATACTGATTTTGCATGTAGAAGTGAATCAGTTAAGAACAAGGTCCACATGGGCTATATTAAGCAGAGGGTGTTATTATTGAGGTGAGGCATGTTCTAAAGAATTGATATAATTTGACTAAGGCAGGATGGAGGGCACATGTCACTACTTTAGAAAAAAACAACAATGAAAGCAATAATTACGAACAGTATGAAAATTAAGTTGTGTCATTTGAGATCTTAAAACTTTGCAGTTGACTTTGGAAATTTAAAATCATAGTTGTACATTTTTTAAATCTCTTTAAACATAAAGTCATTGATCTCATGAAAAGATAGATATATTCCCCTTGGGAGGTCTGTCATACCCTTTGTAGATTTTAGTGTAAGAAATAAAATTCCTTGGTTCTTTCACTCTGAATTCATTTAAAGTCTGATCATGGCTGTGAGCCTCCTAGGTTCTCTCCTTTTCTGAGTGAGGGTTCATGTTCTTTCTGTTTGTCCCCAGACTGCTCCTCCAGGCAGGAATG